AAAAAAAAAACAAAGCTGAACATAGTAGAAAACCGAAAGGTGCACAATACTATGACCTGTTCCAATCGTGCTACTCACCCATTATGTGCCAAAACTACACGTATGCAATACTCCGGTCAAAACTAATTTACATGGGGAAATGAAAACCATAAGCAAATGTGTAATTTAAGTTGCTAAAGGATAGTGTTAATTGGTGATAAAAGCTATGAGGTTAGTATAACTACAAAAATATTTACAATGTCTTTGACATGATAAAAGCGAAGCGTCTGATGAGTTTGATGTAGGTTGTAAATCATGAATTTCAAGCTATTTGCCAATTGTTCCGGCACAATAAGCAGCTACGAAATAAAAGAAATCACAAAGGTATTACTAGATTACAAGTATCATAGGAGAAAAATTTTAAAAGAATCTTATAAAGAAAAGCTGTAAGAAGAATTGTCCGAGACTACAATAAAGAATTCAAAATGCTTCCTGATTCGCAAAGTAAGATAAAATTGAAAGAAACGGCTAAATATGTAAAATTCTGAAATTTGATGTATTGCTCACTTCTTAGAAATTTATGAAGTAGATCACTGACTAGCTGAAGTTTCTTGCGATAAGATAAGCTAACGAAAGCAAAGCGATGGATTAGACTTAACGAAATACTGCCTCCTCCAGCTTATAAATCTTCTCCTTATTCTTTTTAGCCTCTTCATACAGTGCAAGCAAGTTTCTAAACACGAGATCGTATCGTTTCTGTACGTCGATTGTTACTTTTTGAACAGTATCCATCTTAGCTTTGAGTTCTTCCAGCTCTCTTTCTTGAGCGATAGCTTTCTTCTCCAACTTCGCTATCTGTTTCTGATAGTTTAGCTTTTCTTTTCTGAGCGCAAGGATCTCTTCCCTCATCTCTACCAAGTCGGCTTGCACGTCCTCAAAGTCGCTAGTTAACTCCTTCTTTCCTTTTTTACAGTCATCACACTGCTCCTAAATTAGAAAAGAGAAGAGCATTACAATAGAAACGATAGAGGAAAGAAAAGATTGAACTTGCTCTACTTTTTCAAAACCTTTAAATCTTATGGCTTATGAAAGCACATACAATCTGTTCTGATAAGCCTGGCCCGCGTTTTGTAGCAGCAGCAAACACCACACGGAATACCACTACGGCTTCCTCTGGCGTCAAGCTACATGGCAAATCAACTTTCTTTTTTCCGCGTTTTCTCTGTGCCTATTTTTCATTCAACCGCAATAGCTGAGAAAAATACTAAGTTTCCAAGTTAGACATCCCAGAAAGACCATTTGTGGGAAAAGAGCACAAAAGAGCACCCGCAAATCAGGCTCAGAAAAACGGGCAATAGCCTGTTTCTTGAGTGTGACTTGCAGGAATAAGCGGCATGTTAGCCAGGCACGCGCGCGCATGACCGTTGTTTT